TTATTAGTAGAGCTTAGTCTTTCTATTGTCATATCGAAATACGTTTGAAATTGTTCAGGAATGTGTATGCGTTAAGTAAATTACTTAAAAAACCTCTTTTCGACTCACCAACAATATCAACAGAGATCTCTGTTTGTGGAATTAACTGTCGTACTCGTCCATAGCGATCATACTGGCCTTTGAAGATAAAATTGATTAGACTTGATGATAAATACACAAAGGGGCAGTTAAAACAAAACAATCAAAACAGACCCACTTATAATTTCATGACAGTACACATGATATTATTAAACAAGGAACACTTATATCAAGATGGTTAATACGTTAAATAACGGCAAAATACCTGATACCATTAGCATGAGGCTCATTGATTTTGAATTCTCGTTTGCAATAGTTCCTGCCAGTTACTAATTAATAGATGAGTCGATAATCAAATGAATTTAGACAGATAAAAATAAATAAACAACAAAAACAACATCCAACATCCCTTTCTTACACCTAAGAACCGAAAACGTAAGCAGTAATTACACATGGTTAGTTAGGAAAACTGACGTTTCCGCTGTTTCCGCCGATTTGTAAGCGTGAGCATAATTCATTTTGAAATATCCAAATAACAGCATGCAAACAGCTGGGAAAATTTTGTACCGAACTCTGCACTTCTCATCTAAAAAGGTGTCAACTACATCACCAAAGTTTTTTAAAAACTAGGTTAGTTAGAACATTTGAAAGGGCTTGAAATAAACGACTATGCTATAACGTGATTTGTTTACAATTGAAATTCGGAGTTGGTATAAGGGGAAAATCAAATTTCAAATCATCTCTAATTTGAAGGTAACAAAAGGGAATCGCCTGCCTTTGAGCAAGTGGATTCGCTTGTGTTTCGCGCCCTAGCTTTTCGTGCGGAGAAAGTGAAAATTGTAGGGTACATGTAAGCCTGCACGTAAGAGGCTTTGGTCAGTTAAGCATCGTACCATTGGGTTAACCAACGATGATTCTTTAAATTAATTTTTCTGCTTCATATTTAGGGCCACTAGTCACTCAGTTGAAGTACTGTCCCGTGTTACCCTCGTAAATAAAGTTGATTGATTGATGCTTTTTTAGGTGTTATTTCCCATACACTCGCAAATTTTGAGCCCCTTACAAAATTTCTCTTATCTCATCTTAAATCACTCACCTACTTACTATAAAAATAATGAGCTGCATCATTTGAGCCCCTCAAACTTTTTTCATTGAGCAAATAGTTACGGCTAGACCCATCACATCAGTCTCTAACTCTTAATCAGATATTAATCGTTTACCCGGGGTCTATTAGTAGTGTATTCACAACTGATACCTGCGTCACGTTTATTCCTTCCTTTATCTTTGACCACAGCACACGTGACTTTGACATTATCAACCTTGCACTTGTCTTTTAGAGATGGGTCTTGGCAGACCTCTTTGAAAATACTCCCGTTGAGTATCTTGATGAAGTTCTGTTTTATTTCCATTTGGGCTTCTGGAGTACTGCAATCGCCATTATAGTAATGCAAATACATAGCCATTCTCACATTGTTGGGCCCATATATTTCTGCATACATTAGAAAAAAAATAACAAAATTAGCAAAAAAAAAAAGAAAGAAACAAAACAAAACAAACTAGACTGACTTAACACGGGAGGGAACTCAGCGATCATATATCTCAAAGCTAATACATATAAACCTTCAGTACTTTTTATTGATCACCGAGGTTGTGAAACGACAAATGAAACTTAAGAAAGTCAAAAGAAAAACTAGCTTGCACTTTCAACGAACCAACTCCAAGGAGATGAAAACTCATCCAAGACTTCAAAATGATACAATCAGTTGAGAAAGTTCTAAGTAAGCCTAAAATAATAGTCGGTTGCTTATAATCAGTTTATTACATTACAATGTAACAGGTGATGAGTGCGTAAGCCCGAAACTTCGAGTAACAAAAACCACGAATAAGGACGTAACGAAGAGACCAATCCCATCTCAAACTGCAGCGGGAGATGCGATTTATGTACAAGTTATTTAACTCAAGCTTCGGGGTTTCAGGGCTCGGCAACCGGCCGCCGATATCCAATTCAGCAAAGACTGTCTTGTTCGTCGCGGAATGTTATTTACTTCTCAGTTTGTAATTTAGACCTTTGTTGCATTACGTTACCTCGATATTTCTGTGTTGTATATAAGCCGCTCATTATCATTGTAAACAGCTTTTTAGTTTTTAATTTCTAACCTGAGGAAGGCCGAAAGG